CAACACCTGTTGATTCCCACCGACCTCCATGTCAACACCTGTTAACTCCCACTGACCTCCATGTCAACACCTGTTGACTCCCACTGACCTCCATGTCAAAACCTGTTGACTCCCACTGACCTCTATGTCAACACCTGTTGACTCCCACTGACCTTCATGTCAACACCTGTTGTCTCCCACAGACCTCCGTGTAAACACCTGTTAACTCCTACAGACCTCCATGTCAACACCTGTTGATTCCCACAGACCTCCATGTCAACACCTGTTGATTCCCACAGACCTCCATGTCAACACCTGTTAACTCCAACAGATGTCCATGTCAACACCTGTTGACTCCAACTGACCTCTATGTCAACACCTGTTGACTCCCACCGACCTCCATCTCAACATCTGTTGATTCCCACATACCTCCATGTCAACACCTGTTGATTCCCACATACCTCCATGTCAACACCTGTTAACTCCCACTGACCTCCATCACAACACCTGTTGACTCCCACTGACTTTCGTGTCAACACCTGTTGATTCCCACAGACCTCCATCTCAACATCTGTTGATTCCCACATACCTCCATGTCAACACCTGTTGACTCCATCTGACATCCATGTCAACACCTGTTGAGGTTTTCTATTTGTCAACACTTCTACTAAAAGTTTTCCACATATCAACATAGTATGATCAATGTTGTCGTCTCTGTTGACACTAAGTATCCCCCATGTCAATTAAATTCAACTGTTTGTCCTCAGTATCTGTCCTGACATATTAACACCACATGGAATACTCTGTTTAAAATCTCGGTGTAAATTTTCTCAATTGGCACCTAGTATCCCACATGTCAATACCTCTGTTGACATCAAGTACTCCCCGTTTCAAAACCTCTGTTGACACCCAGTACCCCCCATGTCAATACCTCTGTTGACACCAAGTATCCCCAAATGTCAATTCCTCTGTTGACACCAAGTAACCCCAAATGTCAATACCTCTGTTGACACCAAGTAACCCCAAATGTCAATACCTCTGTTGACACCAAGTAACCCCCATTTCAATACCTCTGTTGACACCAAATATCCCTAATATCAATATTTTTATTGATACCGTGTATCCTCCATGTCAATACCTCTGTTGACACCAAGTATCCCCAAATGTCAATACCTCTGTTGACACCAAGTGTCCCCAAATGTCAATACCTCTGTTGACACCAAGTACTCCCCATTTCAAAACCTCTGTTGACACCCAGTACCCCCCATGTCAATACCTCTGTTGACACCAAGTATCCCCAAATGTCAATACCTCTGTTGACACCCAGTACCCCCCATTTCAATACCTTTGTTGACACCAAGTATCCCCAAATGTCAATACCTCTGTTGACACCAAGTTTCCCCACATGTCAATACCTCTGTTGACACCCAGTATCCTCCATGTCAATACCTCTACTGACACCCAGTTTCCTCTATGTCAATACCTCGGTTGACACTACAGTATCCCCTCTTGTCACTACCTCTGTTGACACATGGTATCCCACATGTCAATACCTCTGTTGACACTTGGTATCCCACATGTCAATACCTATGTTGACACCTGGTATCCCACATGACAAAACCTCTGTTGACACCCATGCCCCCATGTCAATACCTCTGTTGACACCAAGTATCCCCAAATGTCAATACCTCTGCCACATGTCAATACCTTCCCACATGTCAATACCTCTATTGAAACCCAGTTTCCTCTATGTCAATACCTTGGTTGACACTTCCGTGTCCCCTCTTGTCACTGCCTCTGTTGACCCTACAGTATCCTCCATGTCAATGCCTCTGTTGACACCAAGTATCCCCAAATGTCAATTCCTCTGTTGACACCAAGTATCCCCAAAGGTCAATACCTCTGTTGACACCAAGTAACCCCAAATGTCAATACCTTTGTTGACACCAAATATCCCTAATATCAATATTTTTATTGATACCGTGTATCCTCCATGTCAATACCTCTGTTGACACCCAGTATCCTCCATGTCAATACCTCTATTGACACCCAGTTTCCTCTATGTCAATACCTTGGTTGACACTTCCGTATCCCCTCTTGTCACTACCTCTGTTGACCCTACAGTATCCTCCATGTCAATACCTCTGTTGACACCTGGTATCCCACATGTCAATACCTCTGTTGACACCTGGTATCCCACATGTCAATACCTCTGTTGACACTTGGTAGCCCACATGTCAATACCTCGGTTGACACTACAGTATCTTCCATGTCAATACCTCTATTGACACCCAGTTTCCTCTATGTCAATACCTCGGTTGACACTACAGTATCCCCACATGTCAATACTTCTGTTGACATCCAGTATCCCCACATGTCAATACCTCTGTTGACACCCAGTATCCCCACATGTCAATACCTCTGTTGACACCATGTATCCCCACATGTCAATACCTCTGTTGACACCCAGTATCATCTCCACATGTCAATACCTCTGCTGACACCAAGTATCATCCCCATATGTCAATACCTCTGTTGACACCTGGTATCCCACATGTCAATACCTCTGTTGACACCCAAAATCCTCCAAGTCAATACCTCTGTTGACACCAAGTATCCCCACATGTCAATACCTCTGTTGACACCAAGTATCCCCACATGTCAATACCTCTGTTGACAACCAGTATCCCCACATGTCAATACCTCTGTTGACACCAAGTATCCCCACATGTCAATACCTCTGTTGACACCAAGTATCCCCACATGTCAATACCTCTGTTGACACTACAGTATCCCCACATGTCAATACCTCTGTTGACACCTGGTTTCCCACATGTTAATACCTCTGTTGACACCCAGTATTCCCACATGTTAATACCTCTGTTGACACCCAGTATCCCCCATGTCAATACCTCTGTTGACACTGTTATACTACATGTCAATACATCTGTTGACACTACAGTATCCTCCATGTCAATACCTCTGTTGACACCAAATATCGTCCATGTCAATATCTCTGTTGACACCCAGTATCATCCCCACATGTCAATACCTCTGTTGACACCCAGTATCATCCCCATATGTCAATACCTCTGTTGACACCCAGTATCCCCCATGTCAATACCTCTGTTGACACTGTTATACTACATGTCAATACATCTGTTGACACTACAGTATCCCCCATGCCAATACCTCTGTTGACACCAAATATCGTCCATGTCAATACCTCTGTTGACACCCAGTATCATCCCCACATGTCAATACCTCTGTTGACACCCAGTATCATCCCCATATGTCAATACCTCTGTTGACACCCACTATAACCCTGAGTATCATCAAAGTAAGCACCTTATGACAACTAGTAGTTCATTACCTTTTTAACAGAAAATCCATGTATCAATAGTTATTTTATGACCCCTACTCCCAACCGCACTCACCAAAACTTACTCATGATCATTGTTCAATATCAGACCTTCTGATTTACACTATTATGCATGCAGCCGTTTCTCACCTATTCCTATTGATTAAGTTGAAATTGGAAAACCTACTTTCTAGGACCTGTCTTGACTTCAATGCAGTCATGGATTTCCCCGACTCAAGTTTAACCCTAGCGTGATAAACTGTCATAAATGAACCACTGGCCAGCCGTGATTAACACGTACTTTGATTTACGAAATGCAAAAAAAGAAAACTCCTGAGAACAAACAAAAACTTACCAATAAAAAAGTGTGTTGAAGGGGAACACATGTACCATTGTAGAGTACTGTCTGTGATGTAACACAGAACTGGCTAGTTCATTCTAATTTCCTCGGGATTGGGTATTAAATATTTTTAATGGTAATTTCTTTCAGTAGTGTTGAGCTGGATTTGATTTTTTTGTGGTTACAGAAGATGTTAGAGTGATGAACACAAGGCGATGCCCACATTTAAACATACATAGCCACACTCCATGAGAAGACATGGTGGAAATAATATTGATCCATAGCAAACCCCGAGTTTTGTCAAAGTAGCTCATGATAATACCAGAATGTAGAAATAGTCGAGGGAAACATGAACGTACTGTGGTACAATCTTGCCTGGGTTAGAGTTAATACGACCAAGGGAGCCGCTTTTGGATTGTTTGCCTGTGTAAAGATTTGTTAATCCAGTGTAGGATAGATCTAGAATCATCCAATCAGCATGATTCTGGTGAAGCACAATTGAAAACAGCTCTCTGGAGCTACCGGCTCACACACATACAGCAAGAGAGAGCCTGTTTTCAGAGATTCTCAACAATTTCATTTGTCTCGAAGCCGTCTGGGTGCTTTATTGTCATTTCATGGCAATCTCGGTAACGCCGAGCATAAAACTAGTCATTTCTTATAGAAAAGCAAAGGAGCAGTAATCGGTTTCGCCGACTTATATGGATCAGTTTCATTCAAATGTGTTTGTCTTGTTAAAGATAATGAGGAGCTCTTCTGTGTGTGAAGTGATGTTTTGGCAGAATTAACTTCTATATGTTTCATCAACAGTGGCAATTGACCATACAGCATGCTGTTTTTATCCCTGGAGAAATATCCAAATTAATGTTTAATCTTGGTCTATGTTAATATCTTCGTTTACAATACATTTCTCTTTCCTTTTTTATCCAGATGTGGTGATAGATTTTGTCTAGCCCCAAAAAACCTAGGAGAGAAATGTTAGCAATCAATGACACTTCAGCAGACAGTCACAGTGGAGGTGACAATGTGGTCAAACCAAGGTTTTCTTGGAATTCAGGACCAGAGGAGAGTCCACTTCATTGTAATGTTTTGTTTGTAGCTTAGCTATACCTGTTTTTCCCAAATTGTTCATTCACCAATGGCTTACAGTCTCAGTGAGCCCCCGACAGAGAAAAAAGCCATGCAGAAGGGATCCAAGATGCAGAAAATCGTGCAGTATCTTACGCCACACTTCAAAAGCAACGGATTAAATACAAACAAACAAAAACAGAGGGAGCGAAGCAATAGTAATCGGAGATTTTCTACTTGTTTCAATTCCAGACACGCTGATGATTTGATTGTCACGCCCTTCGCTCAGATCCTGGCCAGTCTACGGAGTGTCCGTAACAACTACATCACACTCACAAACATCCAAGTGTCCAGAGAAAGGTAAGCCCAATCTGTTTTACTATTGAAAAGAATGACATGTCTTCTTATTTGATCCCAAGGAAAGTGTTTTTTTTGTTATCAAAGAAAGATATAAGTCACATTTTTTATTTTGTTCCCAGATTAAGACATGCTTTCCGTCTTGTTTCCATAGAAACACATGTCTGCCATTTCCTTCCCAAAAGTGACATAAAATCAGTCTTGACTTTTTACACATGTCTGCCATTTCCTTCCCAAAAGTGACATAAAATCAGCCTTGACTTTTTACACATGTCTAACTAGACTAGAATATGTCTTTCTTTTCATTTTGAAACAAAACCCAACCTTTTTCTAAAGTTATATTAGTTAATTTCTATGTATCATTCATTTTGTACTTATATATTATATGGAGACCTTTTGTTGATAAATATCCTTCATTAGGAAGGGAATGGCCTTCACCTCTATGTTATCAAGATGTGTCGGGGAAGGAATTTTTTCCCTCAGGAAAAAGCTAAGCAAAAAAAGCTTGGATTGACAGAGGGGTGAATGTCATTTACTTTCTGATGAAGGCATAAGCATTAAGCTTGGATTGACATAGGGGTGAAGGTCATTTACTTCCCGATTAAGGACTGAGCCTTAAGCTTGGATTGACATAGAGGTGAAGGTCATTTACTTCCTGATAAAGGTCTAAACCTTAAGCTTGAATTGACATAGAGGTGAAGGTCGTTTACTTCCTGATGAAGGGCTAAGCCTTAAGCTTGGATTGACATATAGGTGAAGGTCATTTACTTCCTGATGAAGAGGTAAGCCTTAAGCTTGGATTGACATATAGGTGAAGGTCATTTACTTCCTGATGAAGGGCTGAGCCTTAAGCTTGGATTGACATAGGGGTGAAGGTCATTTACTTCCCGATGAAGGACTGAGCCTTAAGCTTGGATTGACATAGAGGTGAAGGTCATTTACTTCCTGATGAAGGGCTAAGCCTTAGGCTTAGATTGACAAAATTTTTGAAGGTCATTTTCTTCCTGATGAAGGGCTGAGCCTTAAGCTTGGATTGACATAGAGGTGAAGGTCATTTACTTCCTGATGAAGGGCTAAGCCTTAAGCTTGGATTGACATAGAGGTGAAGGTCATTTACTTCCCGATGAAGGGCTTAGCCTTAAGCTTGGATTGACATAGAGGTGAAGATCATTTTAAACTTTAAAGCTTGGATTGACATCAAAGTGAAGGTCCTTTACCTCCCGATGAAGGACTCAGCCCTAAAGCTTGGAGTGATGCAGAGGAGAAGGTCATTCACTTCCTCACAAAAGGCTCAGCCTGAAAGCTTGAAGTGACAGTGATTGAGTGCCATTCACTTCAAGACAATAGACTTATGTATTCTGCCTTATGAGCTCCCTGATGGCTTAGAAATTCCGAAAAAATATAATTCTCAAAAAATATCAGTAATAGACACTTTTTAGCACACCTGGTACAAAGAACCAAGGTGAGCTTATGGCATACTGTGGCGTCCTTCGTCCATCTGACAACAATTACTTAAAACGACTTCTTCTGAACCGCTGAATAGAAATAAACCAAATTTGTCTGGAAGCATTTCTAGGTAGTGGGGATTCAAAATTGCACAAATGTTGGGGCCCCTAGGGTCTAAAGGGCAAGACCTTACAAGGTTTATTTGGCCATATTGATTTAAAGGATTTCACTTTTATAACTTAGTTTCTGGTTCACAACTTGGAAACAGTTGAGATCCCAATGCAATAACCATATATACCATTACTGGGTATAAAGAGAGAAATACACTTACTACCAAGATCACACCAGGGTACATGGCCCCACCCTTTAAGACTAAGTCTCTGGGTCATAATTTCAAAAGGGTTATGATCCCCACCCTTTAACCATATATTTGTAATTGCTCGACATAAAGTGATGACCATTCATGCTACCTGAATTAGCTTTGGGGCCTGCCCCTACTTTTAAGGTCATAAAATGGAAACACATAAGATCCCAAACCCTATATCAATATATAATTGCTGAGCATGAAATTTGGATATACATATGCTACCAGGATTGGCTGAGGGGACTGGCCCTATTCATGGGACCTGATTTGGAATACAATTTACTTTGAATAATGGATACGAACGCTTTACCATGATTGCTTAAGTATCCAGTTGAGCAATACAGGCCCTCTAGGCCACATGTTTCGAGTTAAGTTGGTAGTTCAAATACAGTAAACCCAAAAAAGTTTGGAACTTGTGTGACCGTTGATAGTTGTTTGATTTTGTTATATGTATGGACATAGAATACTTGCCAACCCTCCCTATTTAGGAGGGAAACTCCTGATTTTGAACCCTTATTTCTTAACTTTTCCTACATTCTGGGAGCTAATGATTTTATCTGAAAGAACACCACAAAATATTTCTATTTAAAGGGCTATTTGGTCGCTGGGGATTATATACACACATTATTTTGTTTAAATTTTGAGGACGCAGAATCTCACCCATGGACATTTCGAATGGTTGGCAAGTTTGACATTGTTGGTAGACCTCAGACTTTCTGTGTCATGCTGTATCCCATCGATATACCAAACTTCTAATCTGAATTAAAACCAAGGTTTATATCCCAATGGATTTCCAAAACACAAATCATTTCATCAATTAAGATTCTATTGATTATGGATTGGTTTTGTTTCACAAGAGCCAGAGGTATATGTCTAGGGACGTGAGGTATTGTAGTATATGTCTAGGGACGTGAGGTATTGTAGTATATGTCTAGGGATGTGAGGTATTGTAGTATATGTCTATGGACGTGAGGTATTGTAGTATATGTCTAGGGTGAGGTATTGTAGTATATGTCTACCGACGTGTGGTATTGTAGTATATGTCTTGGGACGTGAGGTATGTAGTATATGTCTAGGGACGTGAGGTATTGTAGCATATGTCTAGGGACGTGAGGTATTGTAGTATACGTCTAGGGACGTGAGGTATTGTAGTATATGTCTACCGACGTGTGGTATTGTAGTATATGTCTTGGGACGTGAGGTATTGTAGTATATGTCTAGGGTGAGGTATTGTAGTATATGTCTACCGACGTGTGGTATTGTAGTATATGTCTTGGGACGTGAGGTATGTAGTATATGTCTAGGGACGTGAGGTATTGTAGTATATGTCTACCGACGTGAGGTATTGTAGTATATGTCTTGGGACGTGAGGTATTGTAGTATATGTCTAGGGACGTGAGGAATTGTAGTATATGTCTAGGGGCGTGAGGTATTGTAGTACATGTCTATGGACGTGAGGTATTGGAGTACATGTCTAGGGACGTGAGGCATTGCAGTACATGTCTAGGGACGTGAGGTATTGTAGTAGATGTCTAGGGACGTGAGGTATTGTAGTCTATATCGAGGGACTTGAGGTATTGTATTATATGTCTAGGGACGTGAGGTATAGGTATTGTAGTATATGTCTAGGGACGAGAGGTATTGTAGTACATGTCTATGGACGTGAGGTATTGTAGTACTTGTCTATGGACGTGAGCTATTGTAGTACATGTCTAGGGACGTGAGGTATTGTAGTCTATGTCGAGGGACGTGAGGTATTGTATTATATGTCTAGGGACGTGAGGTATAGGTATTGTAGTATATGTCTAGGGACGCGAGGTATTGTAGTATATGTCTATGGACGTGAAGTATTGTAGTATATGTCTAGGAACGTGAGGTATTGTAGTATATGTCTAGCGACGTGAGGTATTGTAGTATATGTCTACCGACGTGAGGTATTGTAGTATATGTCTAGGAACGTGAGGTATTGTAGTATATGTCTAGCGACGTGAGGTATTGTAGTATATGTCTACCAACGTGAGGTTTTGTAGTATATGTCTAGGGACGTGAGATATTGTAGTATATGTCTAGGGACGTGATGTATTGTAGTCTATATCGAGGGACTTGAGGGATTGTATTATATGTCTAGGGACGTGAGGTTTTGTAGTATATGTCTAGGGACGTGAGATATTGTAGTATATGTCTAGGGACGTGATGTATTGTAGTCTATATCGAGGGACTTGAGGTATTGTATTATCTGTCTAGGGACGTGAGGTATTGTAGTACATGTCTATGGACGTGAGGTATTGGAGTACATGTCTAGGGACGTGAGGTATTGTAGTATATTTCTACGGACGTGAGGTATTGTAGTATATGTCTAGGGTGAGGTATTGTAGTATATGTCTACCGGCGTGAGGTATTGTAGTATATGTCTTGGGAAGTGAGGTATTGTAGTATATGTCTAGGGTGAGGTATTGTAGTATATGTCTACCGACGTTAGGTATTGTAGTATATGTCTTGGGACGGGAGGTATTGTAGTATATGTCTAGGGGCGTGAGGTATTGTAGTATATGTCTAGGGACGGGAGGTATTGTAGTATATGTCTAGGGATGTGGGGTATTGTAGTATATGTCTAGGGATGTGGGGTATTGTAGTATATGTCTAGGGACGTGATGTATTGTAGTATATGTCTAGGGACGTGATGTATTGTAGTCTATATCGAGGGACTTGAGGTATTGTATTATATGTCTAGGGACGTGAGGTATTGTATTATATGTCTAGGGACGTGAGGTTTTGTAGTATATGTCTAGGGACGTGAGATATTGTAGTATATGTCTAGGGACGTGATGTATTGTAGTATATGTCTAGGGACGTGAGGTATTGTAGTCTATATCGAGGGACTTGAGGTATTGTATTATATGTCTAGGGACGTGAGGTATTGTAGTGTATGTCTAGGGACGTGAGGTATTGTAGTATATGTCTATGGACGTGAGGTATTGTAGTATATGTCTACCAACGTGAGGTTTTGTAGTATATGTCTAGGGACGTGAGATATTGTAGTATATGTCTAGGGACGTGAGGTATTGTAGTATATGTCTACGGACGTGAGGTATTGTAGTATATGTCTAGGGACGTGAGGTATTGTATTATATGTCTAGGGACGTGAGGTATTGTAGCTACTTTTGACGGACTCGATTGAACTATATAACTATAC